AACTGCTTTCTTTACTGGAAAATAAGTATTTCTGTGGCAACCACTTATTCCTTATAAGTAATATTGTCCACATTATGTGATCTGGGGTTGAAAGAGCTGACTGATGAGGGAAGAGACAGCTGTTCATATGCAGTTATCTTCAGTAATCAGTAGGAGTAACGAGGTTTTGTGTGTGGACTGTTGTATGACGTCACTTACAGACTCTACTAGTGCCTCAGAGCTGTCTGAGAATACGTGTAATGTCTAAGGGGGTAGATCTCGCAAAGCTCTTGGGAGCTACATGTGAAATCCTGGAATGGATCATGAGTTTTGATACAATTGCTATAACATACGACTCTTCTGGAAAGAGATTGAAAAAACTTATTCTGGGTATTCTGCTGCTAGACCACAGCTTTGAATAGCAGGTGAATACTGAGTAGTTTAAGAGGCTGGAAAAATTTAGCTAGGGTGCGCTTATTTTGTGGGATATTAACATTTGACCGCATCACCATCTAATTTAATGACGACAGGCAGTCAAAATTTTCATTTTAATCTTTTCCTGAGGTCACTTCATTGTCCACATCACCACACTGGTTCATCTCACTTTACGCAAGTGTTAATTTTACAGGGCCAATGGTGGTAAAAAAACCTTCTTAACAATGTGAATCAAATTAACTGCAATAGATATTCAGAGGGGGAATAATCCCCCGTGTCGTATAGAAACAGAATCTGCTCTTAGCTACCCATTCCCCAAATGCCACCCTGAGAACAATACTGGAGTAGGTTTTACAGTCAACTTAAGATTTCTTTTCAAATGTAAGTATAATTATCTGAAAACTTAAAGGTCATCAATGCGGGGGGGAAAAAAGAAAATCAACCCAAATGAGTAAGTGTCACTGATGTTACTTCCTACACCTTCTGGAGATTTTATTAAAATACTGCCTCTGAATCCATGTAATTTATGAGGTCTGACAGGATCATAGCTTGAGGTGATATGACCACATAAAAGGATTAAGTGTTCAGTAGATGAGGAAAGTTGCCAATATAAAAATGTGGAGAATAGAGATGTAACAAGGGAAGTTATAATTTCATAGTTGTTAGGGGGTGGAAGGGACCTTACAGATCATCAGGTTCAGCCCCCCTGTACGTGGGCGGGAAAGACTGCTGCATTCAAATGATCCCACCAAGATGGGCGTCAAGACATTTTTTGGAGATCGCCAGGGTGCATGACTGTACCACTTCTGGGGGGAGCCTGTTCCAAACCCGTGGCAAGTAGGCTTTTAAAGTTTTTCTTTGTCTAGCCTGAAGTGATCTTGAGTCAGCTTGTACCCATTACTTCTTGTCCTCTCCTGGCAGTCCTTGGTGAATAGCTACTCCCCCAAACCCTGATGTACGCCTCTGGTATACTTATAGGCTGCAACCAAGTCCCCCGTGAGTCTTCTTTTCTCCAGGCTGAACAGTCCCAAGTCCCTCAGCCTCTCCTCATACGTCTTGGTCTCCAGGCCTCTAATCACATGTGTGGACTCTCTTGAGCTTCTCCACATCCTGCGCAGAACTGGACACAGTACTCCAGCTGCGGTCTCACCAAGGCCGAGTAAAGTGGGAGGATGACATCCTTTGCCTTGCTTGAGATGCCTCAGTGGATGCATGCCAGAGTTTGGTTAGCTCTGCCAGCTACAACATTGCAATGGCAACTCACGTTCATTTTGTTGTTGGTCATGACACCCAGGTCTCATTCGGTTGCGGTGCTGGCAGGTAGAGCACTGCCGAGCCTGTAAGTGTGTCGTGGGTTATTTCTCCCCAAATGGAGCACTTTACATTTGTCTGTATGAAATGACATCAGGTTGAGATCTGCCCACTTCACGAGCCTGTCCAGGTCAGCCTGTATTGCCAGCCCATCTTCAAGCGTGACAACATTGCTCCATAGCTTGTTGTCATCAGTGAGCTTTGCCAGATTGCTTGTAATACCTGACTCCAAATCGTTAATGAACATGTTGAAGAGCACTGGTCCAAGTACTGACCCCTGAGGGATGCCACTGGTCGCCTTCTGCCATGATGACTCAGTTGTACCAATCAGTACCCTTTGGGTCCTACCACAGAGCCAGTTACCTAGCCACCCAACCATGAAGTAGTCCAGACTGCATTTTCCCAATTTGACCATGAGGCCATCATGGGAGACCAGGTCAAAGGCCTTTTTGAAGTCCAAGTATATGAAGTTCTATAATGAAGAAATATTGTTTTCTTTGGGAGAAAAAAAGATTTCTTGGCATTTTATAGGAAGATTACCAAGCAGCAAAAAAAATTCCTTGTTTTGTGATAACAGTGGTGAAGAATAAAATGTTACTGAAGGAGCAATGGCAAACACATTCAAAAAGTATTGGATTTGGAGATTCAGCCACTGAATTGGGCTGAATTTCCGCCGAATTGAATCAGGGACCAAAGTTTTGCACAGCCCTAACAATTACCTGTATCTGCAGGAGAGGTTGTACTGAGTAACAGTCTTAAATTGCAACCAGGGAATTTTAGGGTGGGTAGTAGGAAGAACTTTCTGCAAGTGCTTAATCCAGTGGAGCAGACTACTGAGACAGGCATAGAAATTCTGAAGAGCAGGTCAACCAAGCTCTTGGCTGGGATAGTTTAATGAATAATGATCGTTCCTGAGGTGGGTGGGTTTAGACTAGGTGACCTGGAAGTCCATTCCAGTCCTGTTTATCTTTGATTTTCAGTTATTCACAGTGTGCTGTATTTTGTAAAATAATTTCATTGAGATGATGGATTCGCTCATTAGTTACTTTACAAGTGCACTGATATGAAGTAGCACCTGGAATGTCTGTCTTTGAAGTGCGTTCAGTACAAGTGAAGTAAATTTACATGTTAGAACTGCATGCATTAAGACTGTACTGTGCCTGTATTTTGATGCTGTTGGCATGTATGCATTTCCCTTTAAAATTCTCAGGAGCTGGGTTTCCATACTAAGCATTTTTATTGACTTCTGGTCTCCCTTCACTCCCTTAAGGCTTAATCTTCATATATCTCTTCAGAAGAGTAATGAGGTTTGCAGTGCTGTAGGACATTAGGCTCCTGAACTGGTCCGTTATGTTAACTTTCCTGCTTTGGTTTGGGTTAGAGTATCTCTTGTTAATCTCCAGCTCCAGAGCTGGGTTCCTGTCCAACATGAATTTGTTTCAAGGCTAGTGTTATGTGCCACCGTGCCAAGTGTTCAAGAGTAATGATTGATGCTATTTACTAAAGCGGCATACACGTTTTGGCATAGCTGACTTGCTTTATGGTGTACACAGTCATAGGAATTAAACATGGAAAACATTTATTACATTACCGTACCTATCTTCTGCTAAAGCAAGAGAGCTCTTTACCTAATATTTCCAAGCGTTTGTCCAGTCTAATTTTAAATTTCCAAAGTGATTTGGTTTACAGTGTTTCCCTAAGAAAACTTTTCCATAGTTTAATAAATCTGTCAGGAAGGGGTTTTTCTGTTTTCTAAAGGGGTGGAGGGTTGGGGGACATCTGATTTACTTGTAATTCTCAGTTAAGTTTTACTTAATTTATGTCAGCTTGTTAGAGTTACCTGTCATGACACTGGGTCCCAAAGTGATTTGTCAATCAGTACTGAGGCTGCGCAGTGCCATGCATTCGCAGGCTTTGAGTATATAAGGAGTGAGGTTATGTGGATATCTAGGGCTTTAGCTTTCCATCAGTTTTTTCCTATTGCAGCTGAAGAAGTGCTTAGAATCCTTTCCTCCCCAGACTTCAGTATGCTGCTCTCTGGTCCTCTCTTTATTGTGATCTTGGCTAGTTGGCCAGTTTGCATATAATTATTGTATTCACTCAAATCCAAGATGAGAAATTTTCTACATTTTCCATTGGGGGTGGGGAGGGAAAGGCCCCTTGTCTTGGATTTCAGTACAAGGCTGAGGGGCCCCTGGCTGGGGCAATAGATAAAGCCACAGTAGCTTCCTGCCCCCACCTTCTACCTGCCCTCTGTGGCCACTGCCTCCTTCCTCCCCTGCTTACTGTCAGGCATGGCTGTGGCTTCAGTTCTGGCTCCATTTCCTCCTTGGGGTACAGAGTACATGGAAACGCTGTTCGTTGTCCAGCCAGCCAGCTGCAGTGCAGCTTCAGCCCCAAAATGCTGTTGCATGGCCCCAAAATGCTGTTGTACTTTTCTGTGCTCTGGGAGGGAATAAAACTGGAGCCATGTCTGATGGGAGGGAGGTGGGCAGAGGTGGTAGGGATCACAGGGAAGAAGGGGGCAGAGGCTGCAGGGAGCAGGTTGGGGGCACAGCAGCACTGGGGGGCAGCCACAAGGGGACAGATAGAGGGGGTGCAGGCACTCAGGAAGTGTAGACTACAAGGGAGAGAAGTGGCTGGGTGCGCCCCTTGCTTTTGCTTTCCCTGCTGTAGCAGTGAGGAGGGCAGATTTAAGATGATCTTCCAATAATTAAATTCTATGCCTGGAAAATTACAACAAATGTATAACTATTTTGGGGTGGAGGGTTATCTTAAATTCCAAGTCATCTTGGATTCGGGTCAATCCAGGAACAGAACATTAGAGTTGATTTGTAGCACTTGTAACTGCTTCTAGGGGGCCCTGTCTACACCATTGCATGACTGCACCAAACTTTCTGTGTTTGTTGTATTTATAAAGTTTTCACTTGATGAGTCTGAAAGATCAGATTCAAGAAAAGACTGTAGGCTTGTGTGAAGCTTAAAAGCTGCCATTGTTGATTCAGTAATGACTTAAAAAAAATTCCAGTGGGTAAGAAAGGTAAAGAAACACTCAGGAGTGAGATAGCTGCTCACTGGGGGAGGTGGTGGAAGTAACTTCCCCTACAGGCAGGGGGGTGTTCCAGGACCTCTTGGATGAGTAGGTGAAGGTTATGGAAATGTAATGGTGCCTCGCATTTCAAGACAGTGTATTACCTTTTACCTGTTTATTGCATTTTCTTCTCTTCCCAGCTGAACCATGTCTTATGCCCACTATTCTTTCTGTTTTTTCCTAGTTGTGGCGATCTATGATTACACAAAAGACAAAGAGGATGAGCTCTCGTTTCAGGAAGGTGCCATCATTTATGTCATTAAGAAGAACGATGATGGTTGGTATGAGGGTGTCATGAATGGAGTGACGGGGCTCTTCCCAGGGAACTATGTGGAATCCATCATGCATTACTCTGAGTGAAGACTACATGACAGAGAGCTGCATCTCACACTGCAGGAACTGTTGGGGCTCCCTGGACCTCCCCCAGCCTGTGGGGGCCCTTCCAACTGAACTGAATGAAGGATAATTGTAACAGAACCACTTTTTTGGCTTTTTTTTCATTATAAAAAAAATAGTGATTTGAGTTTTTTGAACAAATGGCTCTTCTGGCAGCTGTAGCGAGCCTTCTGACTTCGAATAAGCTGACCCGTTCAGGTGTAGATACTGGAGATGTAACGAACTTGTTGAGTAGCTGATACTTTACTCAAATTCAGACCGATTCAAGCAGGATCTGGGATCTATCTCAGGAATACTGTATGCCCCTGTGATATAACGCTGGCATTAGTGCTTGGCTCTGGGACATCCTGGATGCCAGTGGTAAAAGGTTAACGGCCAGTGGACATCCTTCCCTTTTTGTACACTACACTTGCATGCAGCTGGACGAACATTCACGTGCTAGCAAACATTTGGATTTGTACCCAAAGCAGTTCACGTATCTGACTTCCAGATGGTTCGTTACATCTTTAACATGAACACGTCTCCAGCTGCTCTGCACTTGTAGACTGATGCAGGGGCACACAGAGCTGGCTTTGATTCACGTACCTTTAAGTTTAGCTAATTAAAATGGATGCAGCCAGACCTTTCCCTCTCCCTCTTCCATTCCCTTAATCTTAGTTATTTGAATGCCACAGTTTTTTTTTTTTAATGCACTGGTGTAAATGTTATCCTTTGCTGCAAGTTCCCAGCCTGCTGGTGCTGCAGATTGAACTGAACATGCGTTTGCAGTTTTATGATGAAGGGAAAATTGAATTTACCGGTCCCTAGGAGCTAGAGGATCACTCTAGGGGGAGAAGGTCTAGTGTTGGAAATTCCTGATGCATGCTTGCACTGGAGGCAAGTTATTCATCCCAAATGCTCAATATCATGCACAAATTTCTTTAAAAAAAATGAATGAGGTATTGTAAATTGGCCATTAGACTTGATTTCTAGGTTTCAGTCTACACCAGGAAAGGCAGTGCAAAGATAGGGCAAGCGGCAATTGCTGTTATCAGTTCTGCTGCCAAAATCTCTTTGGTGGAAATAAAAAGGGCTGCTCTGTTTATTGGTTTCCCACAGAAAGCTGAGCAGTAATTGGCGGTTACCTTAGCTCTTTCATAGCTGTGCCTATCCAGGTATGAGTCAACCTCCACTAAAAGTTTCCTGTACTTTTAATAGTTTACTTTTCACCCATTTTCAGCTGTAAAGGCCATTACTTGAGTCTGCCTAATGTGTGCAAGTCAGCCACTAGGAACGACTTAAAAGGTGAGTGTTAGCTGTTCATGAATTCAGCAAACAGATGTAACTGGCTGCTGCTAGGCAGCTGGTTTCCATCCAGGTCAGGCATTGTCCTGGACTTTGTAGCTCTGGTCAGATTCCAGTCAGCATGAACAGTAGCTTAATCATGTCTGGATAAGGCTGCAGCTGTCAGTTAAGGCATGAGTGTGAAATGGAATATTGTAGAGAGCAGTAGAGAATATAATTCCTGAGGCTGATTTTGCTGCCTTATTAGCAAAAATATGTATAACTGAGCCAGTTCTGTAACTTGGTAGTACAGCACCTTGCCAGAAATGGAGGTTCAGAGCGAGCATAGATTCTCGGATAAGACGGGGAGCACTGCTGTGTGAGGGGGGGAGCGGGGAGGCAATGAACAGTCTGTGCCATTCTTCCTTATTCTTGGGCTGTGAAAGCTCCATGCTGTATCGGATGACTCCGATTGCAGGCCCATACCCTACAGGAAGACTCTGGTGTGCATACAGGCACAGGCCTCTTGCAGCTATGTGGGACAAACCAATTTCTAGGGGAGGCTGAAAATGCTTAACCCCCAGATTGTTGCAGCTTTGGAGAGGCTGGGCATCCTCTCTGTTCTGGTCAGGGCTGCCTTTTCTTCCCCCTGCCTCTTGGGACGTACTCATTTATAGTTAGCACTGAAGCTGAGACACTATCATCCTCCTGTCAGGAAGCTGCTTCACTCAATTACCCCCTCTGCCTGTCTGCCACAGAAATAGTGCCATTTATTCAGTTTCCCAGCCTGGTCACTGCAGCCTGAAAAGGCTCATTTGATCTTGTTGCCAGCGCATGTGCTTTGCTCCTTCTCTCACCTTTCCTGCCCTTCTGGAAGGGGGGCAATTATGTGTCATTCAGAATTAGAACTGATGGCACTGATCAAAAACGCTTCCTCTCTGGAGTTTTTGCCCTGTAGCCAAACTCATGAAAGCAGCTGTTATCAGAGCCCCCGGCCCAGTACCCTTGTAAGCGTTCTCCATTGGAGCTGCCTACCTGGACAGTTACCGAGCCTTGGCTACGGGGTTAGTTCCTGCACGTCTGCCGCTGTGGTGGGATATCATGAAGTTCTGAAGGGACCAAGCACATAGCCTACAAAATCTGACAGGTGGGATAGGGCTGCTCGGCCTCGGAAGTGGGAAACCTGCTGCTTTCCAGGGAAGTGGCTTGGATTGAGGGACCAGTGTTTTGTCTGCACCTTGCTGAGAACGTGTGAGAGCTTGCTTATGTTGCAGGGCGTTTCTGGATCACCTCCTGCTGGTTTTATGCTTTATGCAGCACTAATGTTGTAAAGAAACTTGTTGGGTTTTATGCATATTTTTTATTTTGTACAGTTTTGAATTCTGTAGATTGTCTAGGGATGATTCTGTTATGATCATAGACCAGGCCCAAAGTAATCAGATTTTGTATGTAATGTTACATAGACTGCATGCTATTAAAGTCAGTGAGGGTCGTGTTTTCCATTTTTATCCTGGATAATAATCCCCCCCAACCTATTTTCCCCTTTTATTTAAATATTTACTTTAAAAAGGGGTGGGCTGGGAGAAGATGATATTCAAACAGATGAAGAACTTCTCCCACTGCGTCCTGCTATCAACACTAAAACGAGGATGTTAAAACTTAGGTGCCACTTGATCATGGTGTTCTCTTGTGCACAATGGGGAGGGGTGGGGGGGTCACACCAGACTAGCCCAAAGCATGCTGTAGGGTCAAAATAGTATCCCTCCCTTACTTCCTCTGCTAAGGTATTTGTTTTTAGTTTTTCCTCAAAATTCGGGAGGGTTTCTGCAGGTGATTTTGTTTAATTAACGTTCAAGTTTGAGAAGAATGAAAACATAAAGTTTCGCAGGGATGAAGATAATAAATATATTTTATATAAAACAATTGTGAACAAAATGCACTGTGCCAGTCTGCTTAATGGAGAAGAGAGGAGAGCCGTTCTGGTGCCTTGATACTAGGGAAGGAGCGGCGTGTGGAGGAAAAAGCTTGTTACTGTAGGAACGGCAGGCAAGGTTCGTTGGGTAGATGCAAGATCTTTTATTAGACCAAATAAATCATTGGAAAAAAGTTTGTTGCAAGCTGTCAGGCACAAACACCCTTCAGGCATTTGGAGACTCTGTTGCTGTTATGAGTTCCCCAACCAACAACCCTTACTGCAGGAGCTGTCTTTGTGTCCAGTTTCTTTGCATGACCTGGAGGTGCTGGTTGGTTTTTACGTCCCCCAAGGGTGTTTGCAGCGGCTGGACTTTGGGAGCAGGGCAGGCAGTGCTGAGGCTGTGCTCCCTCGCACATCAGCTTGTGTGCCTGCCTGTCTCGGCCGCTGTCAGGAGGCATGGCACAGAGCAGGGCAGGCTGCTTGAGGCATTGCTGGTGTTGCAGGAAAGCAGAAGTAGCTACATGGGGAACAAAAGAGAACACTTTTTGGCAGTATCATTTTCCCAGATCATTTGAGGAAGGGGTAGGGTCTGCAAGGCCATGAGGTGACTGCACACCTGGTGAGGATATCTCAGCATGACCCTTTAGGAGCAGAGTGCAACTCCTGCCCCCAGTGAGAGATCCCTCTGTGAGGAGTGATGCTTTGCAGTTCAGGTAAACAGCTCTGGGCTCGGTTGCTTATGTGAACCATTGGAGTTCCCTGAGCCCTCTCTTCCCTCCCCACCAAGTGCCCCCCTCTTGGTAGGGCTGTAATTAGTGTCATGGTTTGATAAGTTAGTTCTCCCCCCAACCCCGCATTCTGCTGCCACTACCTTATTGGGCACCTTTCTCTGTGGTGGTTCCCATGGCTCCTCCTGATAGATTACTTTTCCTAGAAGGGTCTGACAGATGTGTCCGTCATTTTTGCGTGCTCCAGCATGTTAGTACTGCTGAAGAGAAGTGGTTCTGCTGAGCTCTGCTTGGCTTCACGCAGGGAACAGTTGCCACCCAGTGTCATTTGCTGTTCATAGGGGCTCCTAGTAACAGCAGGCCAGAAGTTATAGGGAAAACCTAAGGTTCATCTCCATTGGTTTGCCATGCTGGCACTTGTGGACATGCAAAGTGGCTGCCTTCTTCAGGAGGTTGGGGACAGCTGCTTTCTGAAAGGTGGCAGCTCCCACCTGGGGCTTTCCTAGTTTGGAGGTGAAAGCAGGGGTGGGGAGAGCAACAGTATTTTTTTTTCAAAGGCTTGCTCCCACCTCAGCTCAGCCTCTGGGTGATGCTGGAGGCAGCAGTGGAAGGAGATCTTCCTGGTTACCCTGCTTTTACCTTTTTCCTAGGGAAGAAGCTTGCAGATGAGGCATAGGGGAAAACAGATGCTGTCCTTTAAGTGTCACATCAGGCTTCAGTGTCTCCAACCTAATCTGCCTGTTGAACCTGGGCTCCAGGAGTCTTAGGAGCTCCCTCCTGCATAGTGGTTAATTGCTCTTCTGTTGGGTGATGGCCTAGGGGAGTTCATGATCATGTCTAAAGGGAGTGGACTGCTTCATGTTACCCTGCTGGCCTTGGACTTAAATCAAAGGCTGAACATATGATTGTAAATGTTGGGTTTGCAGGGACTGACAAACAGAGGAATTTCAGAAGCTGCTGCACAAAGAGATGACTTGTTTAAAGGCTATTACCCATGCTGGAAGCAGACATGGGTATCATTCAGGATGGGGGTGAACTGCCGTTGCTCAGTGATTCTGTTGTTAAACTGTGAAAAGCAGAAGCCCTGTTGGCAAGTACTCCCAATATGCCAGTAAAGTACCATGGTTTCTAAGTGGGGATTTAGCAAGTGTTAGGGCAGATTCAGTATTTGGCCAAAGCAGTGTGATGACATTACAAGCCATAGGTTGGGGAAGCGATAGGACAAGTGCAGAGAGGTTGCACACACAGAACAGATCATTTAAAGTAATTCCTGTCTAGTATTTGGAACTGGAAAAGTGTCTGTCACAATCTGAGCAACGGGAGATAGAAGATGGGATGTAGTCTACATAGAATTTGCTGTATTTGCGAGCATATTTATCGTATTTCCTACCCCTGGGCTATTAAAGAGTTGCACATTTGTGCATAAGACTATATTATATTGTGGGGAAAAAACAGTGCAAGAGGGGGGTTGGTTTGCGTAGTAGCTGAAGTCACTGCCTATAGTTATAAGGTCCCAGTCCATCTGATTTTTATTTTGAAACTACAAGAACAGCAGGGCTGCCTCCTCCCCTCCCCCATCTGATATATTTGGGAAGATACTTGAAAGCTTGCTCAGTGCAGCCATAGCTCAGCCACTGCTATCACAGGAAACAATTCCTAGCCCACAGTATTCTGCTGCATTTGTTTGACACCAGTATGTATACGCCACCTCCACGGCAAAAAGCAGAGCCTAGCTTTGGTGTTGTAAACATGCAGAGTTTGTTTAGCATCTTTCCTCATTACAAGGCATCTATCACAAAAAAGGTGCTTTGATAAAGCACTGAAAGCAAAGGCAGTATCCAGTTGTCAAGACGTGCCCTTACAGCCAGCCTCTTACTTGATACCGAGATGGTGACTCTGCTGAAATGTGTGCAGTGCATCCATTCCTGTCTCTCTAATCGATAACCTCTGTGAATTCTACCACTGTTGACTAATGTGGAAGAGCTGAGCTGTGTACAAATTGATTTCCGTTAAAGTGCTGACACGTCTTCTGAGTTTTTTGTAAAGAACAAGTGCTTATTTTCACATTTGAAAAGAAGAAGTGTCTTTTGCAATTTGCATGGGCAGGTAGTTTCTATGAATCCTTTGGAAATGTCAGTGTCTAACATGCATTTTCTCCATGCATTTTTTTTTCTTGAAATAGAAACCACCCCATATGGTTTACAGTGAGAAGATAAGCGATTTGTGCTTTTGATTCTGGTACTGGTCATGCGGTGGATGTATTCGGAGCCCCCACTCTGACATGGTAAATGTTGATAAATCAGTTACAACACATGCAGGACTCTGGGGAGCTGTGTGCTGCCAGTAATGTTTTATTGTGTGAACCATTCAAACCACCTTCCAATGAGTGCAGAACATTAAATTTTTAAATTTTTTTAATTGTACTTGGAATTAACTGTTGCTGTGTACTAAACCCTCTTGTTAAAAGTCCTAAATAAAGAACAAAGCACACCAAGTGCTCTGTCATTGTGCCACTTCCATACTGCTGGAGACTAACATTGCAACGGTTAGCTGCTCTGCTTATAGTGGACATAGGGAGACAGAAACAATACAAATCTAGTGTTTCACTTGGTCACTGCTGCCAGCAGGCTCTTGGCTAGAGAGACTATGATTAGTGCAGCTTGATTGCCAATGGTTAAGCCATGTTCCTGTTGTAGGTCATCTGCTGTATGCAGGCTGCAAATCACTTGTGACTAATGGGATTCACAAGTGTTTCCTAGTTGGAGTTCTGCACCCTAAGAGAACTGCTGTTACAAATTTTCCTTTTGCAAAGCAGCAAAACGGTCTTTGGCTCAGTCCTTTCTTGCCCCTTTCCCTTGGTGTGGCTAAGGCATTTGTCCAAGGATCACTGAACAGTGCCTAGCAAAATGCACTGGAATAAAACAGCTGTAGTGGCAGCATGAAATCGGTTAATTTAGTTGCCATCCCCTTCCCCTATGGAGAAGCACATGTGCTACAGTTCCTGCTCATGGAAGATGGCACTGCACAAACATCAGTTCCTAGCAGTTATAGCTTGAGGCAGAGACTAACCCCGTTACAAACAAACCCCAGAAACTTGCAGCTCAACGCGTAGATGCAGTATGTAGGGGGAATTCCAGCTTCTATAGTTGGAGGAAGAGAGCAGAGGTGGGGGCAACTCAAAATGATGCTGCAAAAATAGAAGTTTCGGAAGGAAATAATAGGCATTATTTGGGCTGAAGAAGCGGTACGGGCACTATGTCCTTCACAGAGAAACATCCTTCTACCACCATGATGCCCCTACTGGCCTCAACTACTGCAGCAGCACAAGCTCTTGCCATAGGGGGTGGGAGATCATATTGCATTAAAGTCTCTGGCTGGGGAAACAGTACCACCCTTCCTTCATAAATCAAGTAGGGCCAGCTACTGGAAGAGAACCAAAACCTGGGCTGGTCTTGGGCATTGAGGGCTCCTTATGAAAGCAAAAGCTGGTGGACTTGTCCCTTCTCATGTAGTCCTGTGGTTTTTTCATCCCAGCCTGAGTACTGCTTGAAGAAGAAAACAGGAAGAAACTGATTTTACCCTTTGCCTTCCTTTCTAAAAAGACTAAACTGGGAGTCAAAAATGTAATTCAACATTGTGTCTAAGCTCATCAACTCCTTTTGCACAGAAGAGCAAATATGAGATCAGAACACACAGGACCTCTGCTCTGTCCCCTGACACCGCATGTTTTGATAATCACATAATTTTAACACAGCTGACCAAAAGCTTTTCAAAAACAGTTAAAGGCAGCCTAAACTTTCTTTTTTCTTACTGTGTTAGGTGGCTTTACCCAGAGATGATGGAAAATTTCCCATTTCTTGAATGCTGAGATAAATGTACATGTTCTTGGCAAGCAGAAAGAAACCCAGAGTTTTTGTCCATCTACCTTTAGCTATGGCTGCCCCCGTCAAAATCCAGCATCCAGTCAAAAGCTATTTGCTTACCAAAATTTGAAGCATACTGCAGTGAACTTTGTCCAGCTGGCTGGGCTGCATCTGTTCCCTACACACAAAGCAAGCTGTGCTGCCTTGCATAGCCAGAAGAAAAGGCAAGCTTGAAAAGACCCAGAAACCCCATGCTACTGACTCCCATTTGTGGTCAGGTTCTGTACAGAAGATGTTTCAAGGTTGGTCCAATCAGAATTTTAATTTTCTTAATGAACTCATCTTTTTAATGTAGGTACAGTACTGGCAAGTCATAGAGCAGGTACAGGGACAAAAGTAAATGGCAATTATGCTTAGCAGCATGAGGATAATCAATTTGTGTCTGAAAGATTCTCTGTCACCTCTCCCAACTATGAGGCTGATCCAATAAAAGCTATTACCTTACTTAACAGTCCTCCTTTTCTCATGTCCTTTGGACCATCACTACTCTCCCACCACTACACATACACTGGGGGCCTTCCCAGATGTTAGGTTCTAAAAACAGGAAGCTCAAACCTGCTGGAGCATGGCTGGTGTATCCCAAATTCCCTCAGCTCACGTGGTGTGCCATAATATTGGGTAAGAAAGAACATGAGAAGACAGAAAATAAAACAAAGTCTTAAACAGAAGGCTTTAAAGTTAACTACATCTTTATTGAATTGTGCATATTCCATTGTATAATGATCTATACCAGGTACTTTATAATGCAGTATTCTTTTGTCCTCTCCCATGCTTAAAAAAGTA